ATTAAATAAAGTCTAATGTTACAACTAATCGGGGATCCCTTTAAAGTGTGAGAGCTTATGAACGTTTAATATCTTACCTGCTGCAGAAACACATTCATTCTGACTGGACTTTAGAATTGAATGTTTAATGCATCTGGAGTTCAGATTAAAGTGAATTACTGCCATCTAAAAACAGCTCCAACAGCTGATAGTGATCCAGACAAATATTATTTTATAAACCTTTATTTCTCATCAGAAATAACCTCTCTATCTTCAGAAGGATGTTGTTCAAAGACCTACGTACAACCAGTAAGATATTTATGTTCATAACTTCTCCACAGAACCCCCCTTTAAAAAAACTAATACTGTTCTAAGTTGTCCTCATGTTTCTTCATGATTATAATAAAAGTGCAAAATATTACAGCAACAATGATGCAGCTTTAAATAGAAATCTGCTCTCTGCCTCTTTTCATGTCAATTCAAATTCAATTCAACTCAATTCWAATTCAAATTCAAAAATACTTTATTGATCCCAGAGGGAAATTAGGTAATTAATGTAAGTAATGTCAGAGAAATAATCATCTTCTGCTAAAATCAGTTTTCATCAAGTCGTAACTTGAGGTTGTGTCTGATACAAACTGATATCACAAGCTGTCAGTTGATTTGTTGGTGCTTAGAGTTCATATTAGGTAAAGTAAGTAAGTAAATGTTATTCTTTGTGTCTTACACCACAGGTGCCCAGGAACAACTGTCAGCTACCTCCACACCAAACATCTGTGTTTCTACAGTTGATGAGCTGCACACTTTCTGTAAATCAACTTCATTTCACTTCTCAAATATCACTGTGTTTGTCCCCTATATGATGTATTTAACAGATTTTTTTTTATCCAGACAATCAAAGATTTATAAAGGTAAATCAGGAAAATGAACAAGGCTGCCCAAACTTTCACACCCCACTGTATTACCACTATCTTGTAAGAGACTCGATACTCGCTCCGGTTCTTCAGAAAACAAACTTTCTGAGTCCGACGTGGAATCATGGGAGTGAGGCTCAACTCGTGGGCTGCTATTTTCCAAAACCGGKATTTTATAATTTGTACTGCACAGATTATTCAAAATTATTGATGATGTTGATTATAAAAAATAATCAACAGAATTTTATTATCGAANGTTATAATAAGTTATAGATGAGTTATAATGAGTTATAGCTGTGTTATTAGTTTAAAATGAGTTATAATGAGTTAAAAATTAGTTATAATAAGTTATAGATGAGTTATAATGAGCTATGAGTTATAATAAGTTATAGATGAGTTATAATAAACTATAAATGAGTTATAATAAGTTATAGATGATTTATAATGAGTTATAAATGAGTTAAATTATAGATCAGGTTTGAATTATAAATGAGTTATAAGTTAAAGATGAGTTACGAGTTAAAGAAGAGTTATGAGTTATAAATGAGTCATTATAAGTTATAGATGAGTTATAAGTTATAGATGAGTTCTGATAAGTTATAGATGAGTTATAATAAGTTATAGATGAGTTATGAGTTATAAATTAGTTGTATTATAAATGGGCTAAGAGTTATAATGAGTTATAATAAGTTATAGATGAGTTATAATAAGTTATAGATGAGTTAAGAGTAATAATGAGTTATAAATGAGTTAGTTGTAAGTTATAAATGAGTTATAATAAGTTATAGATGAGTTATAAGTTATAGATGAGTTGTGATGAGTTATAGATGAGTTATAATAAGTTATAGATGAGTTATAATAAGTTATAGATGAATTATAGATGAGTTATAATAAGTTATAGATGAGTTATAATGAGATATATAAGTAGGTGCTGATGAGGTTATCTGTAAACCTGTAACATGTTTGCAGCAGTAGAATAAAATGGAYGCTGCAATAAATACTTTGACACGATGAATGTTGACTCCGCTCATACTGCCGCTTCTGTCGATGAGGAAGATGAATTCTCCATGGACCTTCCTCAGGTCGGAGCAGACAGATTTGAGGTCAGGACAAAAGTTCAACATGGCCACAGGGTTGTGGAGGATGTCTTTATGCAGTCTCCTGTGAATCACCTCTACCTAGAAAAACAACAACATCATTTGCATAAGATAACCTTTAACATGTTCAGATAGAAAAGATAAGTGATGCAGCTGATGAAGCACATCAACTATGGTAAATGTGCAGAAAAGTCTAGAGAGAGTGGGCCTCGCCTCTGGACTGTTTCCATAGAAACCCATTTTTATGGCTTAGTGCCCTGGTCTCCTCCTGTTTAGGTCTGCTGGTCATTTAACAACCTCCTGGTGGCCTGATGTGCAGATCAGTGAAGGCTTCTGTTCGATTAAAAAGCCTACAGCTTGGATATTTACTGACTGAATTATTTTAATTAGGGTAATAGATTAATAATGTTAAAAACACTTTACTTTCCCTTCTAATGAACATCATTGTGCTGAAAAATCCTGCAGGAAGAATTTGAGCATTTTAAAGGGATCCATAATTAGTTGTAATATTAAACTTCATTTGATAAACATTTATTTTAACTGTAAAATAAAGACTGTAAAAATGCTGTAGGCTGTTTAGTTTTGTAAATTTTTAAAAATATATTTTAACACGGACGGAGCTATTTTATTTACACACAAAGCATTCTGGGTAAATGATGACGTGGATAGGTCCTCGGTGTGAGTGAGCTGTATCCACCATCTTGGACAATATCTGATGATCGACTCTTTTAAATGAAACCAGAGAGCGTTGAC